GGGTGTGTGAATGTTAATTGTGGGCGGTTTCAATTTATTGATTGTGTGTATAGTTTTAGCAATAAAAAAGAGAGTAAATAAGAGAAGAAAATTTTGGGTTTATTATATAAAACTTTTTTTTTTTTGTAATGAGAATATGAGTTAGGAACAAGAAGACAATGGAATGGAAAATATCGCTGTTATATAATGAATTATATAAATAACAGTATATTACATCAATGCACGCATACATACACACAATGAGACCAATTATGTTAATGGTATGGGTATAAACTAAAATAATACATAGAATTCGGCTAATGGCAGATCATTCAGTATAACTGATGAAGAGATGAGGACATTAAAAAATGCGAGGTGACTACTTTTTTATTTATTACAATGGATATTTTAGAAGTCTGCTCGCAATCACGTTCAAAAATATTTTATTCAACCAAGTTTTTGAAAGATGAAATGGCAATATTTAAATTTGTAATTTATACACTGAACAAGGTATATACATATTTAGTCATGTCTCGATTTGTCCATCCGTATATATACGAACTTGGCCTTTCATTTTTGAGATATCGCGTTGACATTTTGCACAAGTCCTTTTGACGCTGCTCATTTATCGGAACCGACGATATCGGACGACTATAACATATAGCTGCCAAATAAACGGAGCGCCCAAACTCAAGTCTTTGTATGGAAAACTTTTCTAGTTAACAGGGTATCTTAACGAAATTTATCATAGCATGCTATCTAAAATATTGTTACAATATCTGAAGAAATGATTCAAACCAGACCACTATAGCATATAGTTGCCATACAAAAACTTCTTTATTATGGACGAAATTTCGAGTAGATTATTATCCAACACATCGCTAGAATATCCGAAGAACTTGTTCAGATCGAAGCATTATTGCTTATAGATGCCATACAAACTGGCCGATAAAAAATAATATAAAGCCCTTTTATGGGTGAGCGGGTATGAAATAAAAAAAATGTTTGATATAGCAAGCACACAACTATAAGGGTCGAGTTGTTTAGAATTGTACTCAATTTCCATCATAGTTAGGCCCACATAACCGGAACATATCCAAAACTTTAACTGATTAAAGCTTTTTAATACGACAACTTTCCACAAAATTATTTGTGGAACTGTAAACTAGCTATTTTGATACATACATATGTCAAAAGTGTATCGTATATACGAGTATATGTATATTTATTTATACAAATACAACACTCAATACCGATTTGCAATGCATAAACAACTTGCGTATAATACCAGACAAATTGACAGTAAATAAATAAACCAAGAATGAAATGGAGAATAGCAGTTGACGCAGGTAAATAATTTAATCCACAACCAATTCATACCATTACCATAGCAGTGAGTGAGATTTGCGTATGCTTACCTGAGTCACGTATGTGTAGACGTGCTAAGCCGGAGAGTAATTCCAAGGCGGCCAATGAAACATTCAAATCGGTTTTCCACGACGAAATCAAACGATGACAGACCAAATAGGTGGCGCGTACGAATAAGGCGTGCGCATTATCTATATAAAAAAATAAGAGATGCATGAGAAATATATGCTTATCTGCGACTCGAGACAAATTGACACAGTACAAACACATTGGTACTAGGCAAGCGTGGTAAAGCAATAAACAATTATAAACAATTTGAAATAAGGCAAAACAGTAAATACACAATGTAACAGAATAAATATGGAGCAATAGTTATTTTGGGTAAGGAAAATAAAAGGCGATTGCAAAGGAAAATTACCATAAACTGAAGCACTCTCAAATTCTTGTAGCAACTCCATGGGGAAATCATCCGATACGGTAAGGCTGGGGAAATCATGTTGTGATACGTTATCACGTCCAGCGAAACCACCGAAAACAGCAGCACCGCCCGTACCGGCTGTCAAGGGGGCGTTAGCGCCACCAACAACGCCCGTTGCACCAATGGTGGCATTGCTGTGACCACCCAAACTTGAGTTGCCCGCGCTGGCTATCGATGCGGAACGTTCTGAGCAAGCTGTGCACACGCATGTGACGAGAAGTGTCGAGTGTGTCGGTATATGTGTTGCAGTGGTGACATTGCGTTTTACATTTGTGGATTGACGTTTATGAGCGGTTGATATGATAGTGTGTGGCACGTATTTACATGGTAATTGGAACGTTGTTCATGTTTTTCACATATACACACACAAATTTACATAAAAAAAAGAAAAGAAAACAAAATGAATAAAAAAAAAAATATAACTATAAATATCGAATATGAAAACATTTAAGCGCTGACAGCGCGTTGTATTTGACTGACGTTTAATTTACGAATAATGTGCCGTATAAGCCAGGCAATATGACGAGTGTATTTACACAAATGATATAATAAAAAATTATAGTATAAAATAATATAGAATGTATATCAAGAGCTGCCTGTGTGCTAAATATTTGTTTTACTACGATTTTTCACCATACCCGAACTCAGTAGATTCGTATCGCACGGCGTGGGTGAAGCGGCATGCAAATGCTCGGTGCCAACCAATTCCGTCTCCTCAAAGGTGACCGCATCTTGCACAGTCAGCAGCAGGCCGCCAAGCAGCATGTGCGTGTTCTGAGCATCAGTTTCCACTTGCAAGGCGTTCATAAGTATATTGATTAAGCGTGGCTTAACTTGTATGAAAGAAATGACGCTGAAAAGAAAGATTACATAAACATGTAGAGATATTGTAGAGTTGCCGGGGACAATAATGTATTACAAATTTTATAACGATATATTTTAAATGAAAAAGTTTTCCACATAAAAAAGAATTTTGATTTATTAGTTTGCATAGCAGCTATAAGCTATAGCATTCAGATCTGGGGGCCTATTCTGTTTTATTTATACTGTTGTATTACTCGAATGCGGATTTTTTATATTCCGTAACTCGATTTTCGGATTTTCAAGCCAATTTTCGAATAAAATATTCGTTAGCTTTTAAGTTGTAGAAAGCAAAAACGAAAATTGTACGTATTTATTCTGRTACAGGGTGGTACAACTTTCGAAAAATTATAAAGTAGATCTGAATTTCGAATAGAATACATTTCTAATAAGTTTGTAAAGCCGCTATACTCTATATTGGACCGATATCGGCGGTTTCGATAAATGAGCAGCTTCTTGAAAAGAAAAGGATGTATGCAAAATTTGAGACTGATATCTTATGAACTGAAGAAATAGTTCGCTTATGTACAGAGTCCGTTGTGGTTTAACGAAGGATGAATCGGCAGACATGGCTAAATCGACTCAGCTCGTCAAGCACTTCACTTATATTTGTTGTAACGATAGAATTCTGCCGAGTTCACAGTCCTTGGAAGGATAAAAAAAGTTGTGGTCCGCTCCGGTTACGTAGACCCGACAGTCATGGGTAAGGACATTTTACGGGGCCTCTGACGTTCCCCTCTATACGTTACAAACTTCGTGTTACTTAATACTTAATAAACCATGTTCAGGGAATAATTAACTCTAAGCACTCACCATTCAGTCGACTCATTCGTCAAATCGCGTATGGGTAGCGTTTGAAAATGCAACGGCAAGGTAAGAATTGAGAGTAATATATTAATCGATGCACGTCGCAGCTCGGTTTTGTTGAAATGCATTGCCTGTGTTTTAATCTTCAAATCCTTATCTGGTAAAACAATCTCCAGGGCGCTTATAAAACCGGGCAATAGCACTTGCACTCCATTCAATTCGAGTCGAAATAGATCCGAAGAGTTCAACAAAATGCTTGCCAATGTTTCGTCACACTCCTTAGCTTCGGTTATTTTCAAGCATTGCTGCAGTGCCATATAGAAACGCGCCAAATAGACAGGAAGTATCTCCTCACCAGTCTTTTTAGCGCAAAATATCTTACACAGCGTGCCTATAGCCTCCGCACGGCCTGACTCATACTTATCGATCGTTAATGAGGGCGGCAAGCTGTTCGGATCGTTCAACGAATTCGGTTGCGACAGCGAAATACTGCCCTTACGATTCTCCATGATCATAGACGACGGTCGCTTGCTAGCCTCGGTAGCTTGTTCTAAAATATACAAACAGTTATAAAGTGATAAGTAATATAGCTGAATATAACTTACTCTTTGTGTTCATGAACCAAGCATCACCACCAATATGCGCCGCCTCGAAGAGCCATTCGCCAAATAAGTGCAAAATGCTGTTGCATTTGGGCCGCGCAACAGCCAAAGGGGGGCGATTTTCGAAGCCCAGCGAAGGCAGCGCTAAACAAGAAGAAAAGCAAACATTTAATTATGGGTGGATTATTGAAAGAATATAATGTTGTTGCTGTAAATTTTAAACAAGCGTTTTCAGGATATTATTTTTTTGTTTTTGTAATTTGCGGTGGAAAAAATTGCCGTTAAACTTACATGTTAGGCTATTAGAGGATGGCGGACCAGACGTGGGTGTGAGTGGTGCTTGCGTTGTGGATAAACGTGCACCGGTTATGCCGATAAGCGCGGCTTTGCTCAAGCCTAAAGTGTGTGCGGTGACAACAAAAACAAAAATATAGATATCATACAGAAAATTATTGGAAAGTGTTAGGCACAGCAATTGCAACAACAAGATGTTTACACATACATACAAACAAAGACAGCCACACATAAGAGTAAATTATTTTTGTTGTTGTAAAATTTATAAGCAATTACAACAAATATGATAAGTTGCTACTAGAGATAAAAAAACTAAAAAAAAATATGGTGGGCGTAAACCTGTTGATATCATGTACATGAAACTAAGCCTGGAGCAGACAAAATTTCAAAAATTCGAAAATATTTATTTACAAGTGGCTAGTGGTGCAACAGGCTGCTGTAGCGGTTATATACAGCGCGCTGATTTAGTTACAACACACGATAAATCATTAAAAATTATACAACAAAAAACTTAAAGAAACTAATTCCAAAAAGTACAAAATGAATTATAATATATAAATAAACATATATTTATTAAATATATGTATAACAGAAAACAAAACATACATATATATGTACCTACAAACCTACTACAAGTAAAATTGAAACAAAGTGGAGAGTTAAACACTACTAAAATGCAGCAAGCCTTGACTGGAGAATAAACTTTGAAAGCAAATAAAATTTCAAATATATAATAGTGGTTTTAAAAAGTGGTTCTAACAAGTCATTTATGATTAATAATGAAGGAATACATTTGGCTTTCTGCGCGGCTAACTGGTTTAACACACGAATCATGCAATTGATTAACTAAGAAATTCCGTAAGTCATTAACTTAACACAGCAAAGCGTTAACAAACATAATTTTTAAGATTTACGGCTTAATTTAATATTTCAAGACATTTTATGTGGAAGTGACGGAAGTAAGCGCTTAAAAGATTTGCAAGAACGATCGTACTCAAGTGCTTGTATGAGAAACTTTTTCATTTGCGAATATATCTTTACAAAATTTGGCATACGTTATTGCCCCAGGCAATACAATCTTCCAACAAATCGTATAGATCGGACCACTATAGCTTACAGCTGCCATACAAACTGAACGTTCGAAAACAAGTTATGGAAAACTTTTTTATTTGACCAGATATCGTCAAGAAATTTGGCAGGTATTATTGTGCAATAAATTGCTAAAAACCACCAACAAATTGTACAGATTGAACTAGTATAGCTTATAGCTGCCTAACAAACCCACCGATCAAAATAAAGTTCTCGCATATAATTTTTCTTATTTTTGAAGAATATTACGTGCCTTTACCAAACATTTAACTTATTACAGTTAACTTTGCTGTGAAAAGTTAAATTATTATTGGACATGTGTATGGAAATCATAAAATAAGCCAGAATTAGACACTAAATCAATAACCAATGTAGTGAGTATAGCAAGCAAGTGAATTGTGCGCTTAAAAAACTGATAAAAAAAAAACACACGCAGTCTAATAGCAAGACTGAAGACTCGCGCACCCTTTTGTTGCGTTACATTAACGTTGTTGTTGCCCAGTGCTGGTGCTACGCTAAAGCTCTTCGCCAAACGTCGTTGCAACGGTGGTGTGGGTGAATATGGCAACGGTGCGCTTTGCTGTGCACCATCCACAGCCGACGATGATGCCGATGTAGTAGTGGTAACGGCATTCAACGGTGTACCAAATGTTATCGAACCGACAACACCAGCCGATTGACTGCCACTACCGCTGGTGTTGCCCGTTGCACTGCCGCTTCCAGTACCAGTATGAGCACCAGTACTCGCTGGTGTTGACGCACTGCCATGATGACCCATAATGGCGTTCAGTGCTGAACTGGCCGAACCGCTAATGAAGTTGTCACGCAAAAAATGCCCTGCACCATGCAAATGCAAGTGCGGATGATAGTGATGATGATGGTGGTGCTGTTGTTGTTGTGCATTATTTGTAGCAACGGTAGCTGCGCCGACACCGCCTGAGTTTAGTGCGCCATTACTGCCGTGTTGAAAAAAACTATGAATACCCGCTGTGACCGAAGAGGCGGTCGCCTCGTTGAGTGAGAGGCGAATATCAAGTAAATTTGTGATTGCGTCTTCCGCTTGATGCGGCGGTGGTTGATAAATGCCTATGGTGTTTGCGCATCAGACGCGGTTAATAGCATTTTTTGTTTTGTTTTGGAAATACATTGACAGAGGTTATAAAGAGATTATAGAGATTAAGGATATCTAAAGCGACGCTTAACATCTTACGCTAGGAATTGATACGATATGAAACATTTATGAAAGTTTCTATAACATAATGTAGACTAAAAATGTAAGTGACTTAAAAACTACAATACTTAAGAACATAAAATGTGTGTATATTTTAAAAGACCTTAATTTTTTATATGAGAACCCGATGCATTCTAATTTTTACAGCCAGTTTCACAGCAGTAAAAAATATTAAAAATATTCGAGTTCTTCATAAAAACTGGCATCTTTGAATGGCAGATGTTTAAGCCACCGTTGTAAATAGCGTATTTAACAAAATGCCAAATATGAGGCGAACATTTTAAGGTATTTACTAAATTCTAATTTGAAACACATTCAGCTAACGTCACTTTGTAAATCGCTCGTTGGTAGATTATTACAGTTAATTGCTTACCCAGAAATGCGTCAACTTGATTGGAAATTCCTTTGATTGCTTTCAGAAATATTTGTGGCAGCGCCTGCAAGCATGGATGCTGGTAGGTTTCAGCACCTTTGTCATGGGTGAGGGCCCACTGCATAAAATGCGATGATTTGCTGATAACATGAGGCGAGCATAATGCTGTCGGATTGCCAATTGTGCGCAACAAGCGATACCATGTCTGCGCAACGCAGTCATTCGTCATATCTGCAGGTATTAGCTGTGCATCCTCTTCAGCTGGAAATGCACAAATATTAATTTAAAATGTTCAATATAATTTGTCTATAAAGTACATACATATTTTTAATTCGGGAAAGGCAGGACCATATGTAAATTCGAGCAGACGTGCAGTTAAAGCGAGATTAACACGATTCCATTGATCAATCAAGGCCAAACGATGACGCCACATGGCGCATGACTCTTGCAGTGTTTTCCACAGTGAAGGTGAAGGAAAACAACGCACACATGCTAAGAGCCAAACCTCGAAGAGCACAGATAACACCCTTTCACATAGTTGATCGCCAACATCATCTTTGACTGTGGGTGGCGCTAGCAAAACTTCATTGATGGCTAGCAAGAAGAGCAGTAATGCCTCCCATGTTTTCCGATCCATAGTTTGTGAGATTTGTGCCATTTGCTGAAGTGTACGTAAGACCCGGTGGCATAGTACTGCTTGACGGTTAATGGTATCAGCACCTAGAATTAAAATTTTGGTAGTTCAATAGTGTTGCAAGCAAAATATTTAGCAATTAAATCGGGCACCTACCAAGCGTATTTTGATATATAAATGGCAAGACTTGAAAGGGAAGGTAAAGCAGTTTTATAATGTGCACAATTATGTTGAGTAAGTATTTAAAAAGTAAATATTTCTAGTACTATATACAAAGTGGCAACTTAATGTTAAATTTTTGAAAGTTGAGAACTTCATTCTAAAAATGTATATTTCTTCAAGAAAATCATGCAAATAATTATTACTTTATATTAATAATCTTTGGCATTTAATTAATTTTGCACAGGATTTAAACATACTTTCCCCCTGGCGTGGCACAAACAAGTTATGGAAGTGGCTGACGATCTTCCTGCAGTACATGTTTGCATCTTCACATATAGGTTTTGGCACACTTATTCGTGGCTGTGGATGCAAAGCTGTCAGCCATTCGCAGTAAACATTTACGCAATCTTTTATGGTCTCATGTTCTTGCAATGGTAGTGACAAACCAAAACAGATTACATCCATACACCAGTTAACCTACAGCAAAAAAAAAAAAAAATAAACATCGCTAAATAGGATTCATAACACAACACATAGATTGCAAAAATTTTACTATACCTCTTCATCGCGTACTAAATGACTCGGCTCAGCATTTTGAGTAATTCCCAAATTACTTGCCAACTGACGTACAACAGACACTGTTACTTCACGGCCTGCGGAGGCAGGAAATTTATTGAGTACACTGCAAGACTGCGCTGCACAGTTGTCGGCCGAGATTTGTGAAGAAAGTGAAACCCATTCGGAATACATATTATCTATTTTTTCGTATTTCTTGTATTTATACAAAATATTGAAAATAAACCAAATGGGCGCAGCTATTGAGATCAGCTACAAATGTTCACTAAAAATTGCGTCAACAAATCAAGCTGACATTCTCAGTTACTTTGTAAAGTATACGACTTTGGGAACTTGTCTATTCCAACAACATGTTTACGTTATTAATAAGCTTGTAAGTTAGAATAGAAATCTTTGAAAGCATTTATATTTTATTTTAATAATAATTTTACAGCAGATTGGCTAGAGCAAAATATTTTTTATACGTCAACAGTTATGTTGCCAGACTGCAGCAAATAAATGATTCAATTATTTTCATATTAATAAGGCTGTGTGCCAAATGGTAGCAAAATGTAAATTCTGGCGGTTGAAAATAAAATTTTGACATTTAATGTGACAAGCCCAAATGTCAAATTTTAACTAGCTTTTTAGTCTGGTAAAATTTTCACAACTTATATATGGGAATACAGTTATGCATTCACCAATAAATGAGTTTATGTAAAACAAAAATATTGCGTAAAAATATAGTTTTATTCAAATATACGGTTTCGAGCAAGTTAAAAAAGTATATATTTCTACTTATACATATATAAATGGACTTACCCGAACTGTTAAGAGATATTGTGAAATTACATATTTTTCAGCAACTCGCTTTGTGTTCTTATTCGTAACAGTTCGCTGAGACGTTTTTCGGCATTCGTGATCGTTCTTTCGTAGTGCATAGTTGCATTTGCGTATTTATTTTGAAATTAATATTTAGAATATATTTAAAAAATTTAATTTTATCTTTTGGTACATAATTTTCAAATATGTATACAAA